ATTTCCCCCCCGGCTGCTCCAGGTCTCCACTTAATAAGGCCGCCGTTCCTCTCCTGTCCAAACCGACAAGCTTTGTGAGTAATGAACGTCTCCCAGGCAGCCGGTGACTCTGATCTGATGCCTTATTGCACCCAAAAGGGGGCAAGTACATAGAAGCCAGCCCACATCCAAGTCGGCCATTTTGATTAGGTCACCAATAGGAAGATCCCAGGCAAGAAAATCCTAATTGCTTCATGGCAATATAGACATTCATTTAAAGATAGTGAAATGAATCTTGCAAACACTGAATTAAACTCTATACATAATATGATGTTCAAATAGTGGATGTTAAATAGGTTTGTACAATAAGTCCAAACAAGTTTAACCCAAAAATCTGGGAGGTTTTGGTTGCTGGAGGGGCTGCTGGGTAAAGAGCGGCGCCGGATAAACTCAAACTTTATTTATAAAGCTCATATAACACAACCGGGGTCGACTTAAGTGCTGTACAGATATCACAGCAGCAGGAAATAAGATAAAAACCAATAAGCTAAAATACATAAACACAAAAAACAAAATAAAATGGCATGAAATAAGTTAAAATTTCAATAAAAATGTAACTCAGAGCTCCGTAAATCTGTTATTCCACCAGAAACAAACAAGGAAATGTCTCCCTGTAACATGTTACGTATTAGCTATAACAAAGAGAAGCAGCTTAAGGCTCCTTTTCCTCTCTTAAATAACCCTTAAACTTCATCTCTTTGCTCTTGATAGCAGCTTCCATTCTTCCTCTGCTTGTTTTTCTCTCGTCTCTGACAGTTTCTCTGGTTGTTGAGTCTTCTCAGCCTTCTTCCATCAGTCCTTCTTGAGACTTTCTCCATTTCTGCCTGAAGACCATCATTGGTCTTCCTTCTGTTTCTAATGCTTTATTTAACTTTTGTTAAATAAAATTCCTGGCTCATTGTGGAATTACGGCCAATTAAAGCTCATCACAAGGAGCTTTAATTCTCAGTGTGTTCCTGGTTTAGTTTGGCTTCTCTTTGTGGTCACTTTCTGTCTCTATGTCGTGGTTTTGTGACTTTTTGTAAATATTTTTTGTCTTTTTTTCAGTTTGTTTTAGATCAGATTTATTTCTTTTAGGTTATTTTGTGTGGTTCTGGTTCATTTGGACTCTTTGTGATCATTTTATGTCTCTCTGTCTTTTTTCTGTCAGTTTTATGTAAAAAAAAAAGTAGTTTTTTTGGGGGGATAGCTTTGTGTTTGTTGAATGTGTGAAGTTTGTTTGTGCATTTCTGGTATAAGTTGCTTTATGTCTCTTTTGCATGGTTTTGTGAACCTTTTCTGTCATTTTGTGGATTTATTGTCTTTTCTATGTCCACTTTTCTTCCCGCTGTTTGCCCTTTTCATCTGAGGTTCTCTGAGGAGTCAGAAATGCCTCAAGCAGTACATTCAACCACTAAAAATCTCTTTACTGTTCAGGAATGAAAGGAAACAAACAGAGTCTGACATCTCAGTCAGAAAAAAATAATAATTCCATCCTATTTTTTTTGGTCAAATCTGAATATTGAAAATACTTTGATAACAATAATAATCCTACTTTAGTGTTCAGACCTGAACATTACAGGAACACAGAGCTGTTCATTTAGGTCACAAACCTGATATCAGAGGGTGGTCTGATGCATTTGTTAGGCTCTTAATATGTTAAATTAATAAAGGAAAACCTTCCAAAAACATCACATTTCATAGCAGAGTTCCAGCAGGTTGTGAATGTGGGTCAGAGGACCACCAGGGGCCTCAACCAGCTCCTGGGGGTCCACAGTAAATTGAGAAATAGATTAATATTGCCATAACTCAGTTCCATAGGAGCTCCCTCAATTACAGATATTACATTAGGTTTAAGGATGATTGTAGTAATTTTAGGTTTTACTCTCACATCATCTCCTCAGAGGTTGAGGTGACAAAATGAGTCTTTTTTTTCCTGCTCTGTGACACGAAAGTATTCGAAAACTCCGGTTGTAAGCAGGCGATTCTTTACGGAGAACCACACAAATCATTCCTAATTGAATCACCATTTGCATTCGGAGAGGGAGGCGTCATATTTGGCCCGTTCCGCCGCTGTTCCATTTCAGACTCGCCTGCCCCCATAATCTACTTTGGCCTTTTCAGCTGAAGGAAACGCTCCTGCAAACCCAATCTAGTGTGACAGGTGTGATGGAGAAGGGCCAATAACGGCCGGCTCCGCTCGCCGTTTGCGGTCTGCGGTCCTGCTGGGGTCTGAGTCCTGGCTGCCCTTCAGCGGGGGAAAGGAAACGGGCGCCGGGAGGAGGGTTATAACGATACTAAAGTGTTCACCTCGATACCGGTACTCAGGGAAATATTCGATAATCGATACCGTTTTTGATACCACAAGGATAAAAAAAAAAAAGACCCCAAAATTTAACTGAATTTTGACAGGTTAGTGTCTTTTGTTTCAAACCTTACTGATGTTATGGTGGCCCACATTAATGACCCTAACCCTAACCCTAACCCTAAACCTAACCCTGACCCTAACCCTAAACCTAACCCTGACCCTAAACCTAACCCTAACCCTAAACCTAAACCTAAACCTAACTCTAAACCTGGGGTTTAGGGTGGACCCTAATCCTAACCCTGACCCTCCAGCCTTCATAATTGTAAGAAATAGATATTTTTTGGTTAAACTTATTTTACAAACCTATTTGACATCCTCTATTTTAACATAATATTATGTATAGAGTTTAATTCAGTGTTTGCAAGAATTCTTTTGTTTCAAACTTACCTATTACTGATGTTATCGTGGCTGGTGGCCCACAAATAATGACCCTAACCCTAACCCTGACCCTAACCCTGACCCTAAACCTAACCCTAAACCTGACCCTGACCCTAACCCTAACCCTTCATAATTGTAAGAAATAGATATTTTGGGGTAAAACTTATTATTAGACTTATTTTACAAACCTATTTAACATACACTATTTTAACATAATATTATGTATAGAGTTTAATTCAGTATTTGCAAGATTAATTTCACTATTTTTAAATTAATGTCTATATTGCCATGAAGCAATTAGGACTATCTTGCCTGGGATCTTCCTATTGGCGACCTAATCAAAATGGCCGACTTGGATGTGGGGGAGTTGGACATCCATCTTTGGCTTCCTGCAGACTTGATTAATGTCGGCGTGTTATTATTAGCCGTTAGCCGCAGCTAGCAATTCAAGGCTAACGTCACGTTAATGACCATAAACAACATAAATAAATAAAAAAATAAATCAGAGAAAAGAGGTGGTATCGATACTTTTGACAGGAGGCCGAAAGGCGGCCGGCGGGCCTCGTGTTCTGTCGTTTGGTGGAATCTGAACTGCAGAACCTCATTATAGGAAACAAGTGAGGCTCCGCGGAGACCTCTGCAGAGCGGCGTTACCACAACAAGAAATCTCCCCCCTAAAAGGCTGCGCCCGCAGCACTAATGGCCCTCCAGGGTCCACGCTTAGGAGCCAATTCTGG